AGCTCCCACACCTTGATTTTACGGTGTGTATCTTCTAAAAAGAACTTAAAACTGCGTCTGTGTGTATTATAATTAAATACTATGTTCTGAAAAATTAGTGTGAGGATACTCACAAACATTTTGAATTTACCATTAGCAAATTAAATAGCAGAGTAGGGTATGGCTGGATTCTTTTCGGCTTTTAACTTGGTCTTGTTCCTGACACAGGATCATTAAAGTGTAAAAAAAGGGGTTTATGCTCACTGACATTCTGTAGAAATTCTAAATGTATACACTGTGTGCATAGAATTCTATAGAAATTCGTAATTTTTATCTGTTTGTGTGAAAGAGGAAGAATTGAATTTAAGGAAGTGTAGTGTGGTTAAACGGAAATTTTTTCTGCTGTATTAGTTCCCAAGTGGGAATAGGAGTTGTAGCTGATATAGTCAGTAATAAATGAGACTGCAAAATTAATAATTGAAGACAGAGAAATTAAATTAAATAAAAAAGCCAAGACTTTGTCTTAATCACATTTCCCTAAATATTTTGGGGAAAGCAGCAGTGACATTATTTACTTTTAAAAAATAATCACAATTAACATCATTTGAGTCTCTCAATTTCCTTTCCTGTTTTTGAACATTTGTAGATTTTCCAGAACTTTACCTTTAGATTTGAAAGCTTCCCTCGTACTTCTGGGAAAACGCTTTCCCTTCTTTTCTAGTAATCCATATAAGATAATTTTATGAATATATTGAAATGCTTAAGTGATGTGGGAAGGACATTCAAGGGCGTTTTTAGCCAAACCCTAAAAAAACAAGCTGAGACTTTTAAAGTTAATGTTATGGTCTTTTGCCTGGTTTTAAAAATACGTTTTACCCAAAACTGTGATTATTTGAAAATTACATATAGGATAATAACAAATGCCCTGAAGTCTCTGGGTGCAAAAAAAAAAAAAATGCAATGCACCTGCCAAACTTTTAATTACTGGTTCATTAAACTTACAGATGGTTTAGTGAAATAAATCTTTGGTGAGTTCCACAAGCTGAGTGAACGAACAACTAAATTTACAACTCTCTACCTGTCATAGGGCTGCCAAAAGGTTCCTGAGATGTCTTTATGATTTATTGATTAAAATCACAAAATGTCAACTAATGTGAATCTTAGGATACCAACAGTGCTCTATACTTTTTTGTACTGCATATACATATATATGTGTGTATATGTATACAGACACAGAGGTTTTGTGTTGCTCCCTGGTTTTAATCAGCACCTGAAGAGGTTAGTTTGCAGAAAATATACAAAAGTACACAGCCCGGTTAATGTCGCTCTCAAAACGTTACTTTGATTTCTTGTGATTTCAATAGTGAAATTTATGTTTTGATCAACAGGTTATTTTAAGGAAATTAAATGTTTAGCAAAGTAGAAAGAGCTGAGCAGTGTAGGCTCCCCCACTCCTTTTATCACATTGTACAATGTGATAGTTTATAATTTTTCGTAACTGTAATCTTAGTGCGGCAAACTTTTGTTACAGAAGTTCTTATTTCCGTGATTCATCGTTATTCTTATGGGATTTTCATTGACTGACGACTTTTGAAGGGTTGAGAACTCAAAATTCTCAATAGTTACAATTTAATAAGAGTAACTGGGTTTGGGGCTGTTAGAATATTATTATAACAATGATTCAAGCAGACGCCTAGAAGAAATAAAGCTGACTTTAAATGGTTTACATGTAATTGCTGTTTTTCTGCCTTTTTTGGTATTTATTTTTAAATGAAGTGCTGTGGACATAAAGGGAAGGTGCATCTCCTTTTCTGAAGTTTGGCAGAGTAATTTAATTGTTGATTATTAACTTTTTAATTTTTTTTTCCTCCTCTGATTTCTGAAAAAAAAATAAATTCAAAACTCTCGATGCATTATATTAATTTAAGAAAAAGAAATTTAAATACAAAATTAAAATAAAAATGTCTAGTCAGGACCTCTAGGAAGAATATTTCCTGAAAATTAGGATAGCTCAGCTCCTAATGAAACGCTCAAACTTTGGCAAAAAGTGTGTTTGCTGTTTGTTTTGTGCTGGGAGCAACTGTCCAGAAGACTTAATTGAAAACACCCTCCCACTCTGTTGGAAGCACGTAGAGCTTCTCTTGGAGATCACCCCGTCTGTCAGCACTGCCGGGGCTGAGCATCTTCTGCGTGAAACCAAGCTTTGGCAGGTTGGCTATTGTGTCCCCGACCAGGCTTCGGAGAAGGGTGGGAGAGGAGGGCGCTGGAAATGCCGCAGAGAGCTTGTCTCCAAAGAAGGCAGATTTGCAGTGTAATCGGGCAATCTGTTTGAATTATATCGTGATCACAGCTGTCGGCGTCGCTGAGAGGGAGGGAGAGAAATTGCTTTCAAGGAAGCTGGTTATCAGACCATTCACTGCTTTTCCATCAATATTACCCAGCTGAGCTTTGCCCAGAAGGGGCTTGGTTGCCAATATGGGTTTTGGCAGAGATGCTGTGGGCTGCCTGGGTGACAGGCTGCTCCCACCACGCTCTAGGACTTGCAAGTAATCTTAAATATAGCCCGTTGTGGATACGAAACGGGGATCTAGTCTGCAGCGTGGCAAAAGCATATCTAACCTCAGTAGAACTCGTCCGGGAGAGATACGGCGTTAGGAAGAGGAAGCGGATGCGTTGGGCGTAGTTACGTTCATGAGTGGCTCTGATTCATTAGGTACCCAGCTGCACCAGCTTGCTGTCACCGCTACAGCGGTCTTGTCTGATTTGAGTCTCAGCCAGCTCGTCCTTCTGCCAGACTTTTGTGGACAGAATCAGATGGGAGAGTCTGTAAAGCTGAACGTTTCTCAGCAGCATCCTGCAGGCAGCTTTTCTTGCATCCCTGCAGTGATGACCCAGCAGCTTCCTTGACTGGGAACGAAGGATCAAAGAAGATCTTGAGAGAACTCTGAGGACTTTGATGACAGACGGTTGTTTGCCTTAAAAATGCTGCAGTCCTGAGGAAACGGGTACACTGAAGCTACTTGAGTTGTATTTGGAGTTTTCTCCAAATGTTGTTTTTCCAACAACATTTTCCTTGTTGTTATTGTAGCAAAAACTACTACCACAGTGCCCATGAGGGTATACAGTGTAATCACCTCCAGAAGTACGTCGGTTGCTAGGTGAACATGCACAATGTTGATTTTGTCCTTATAGACTCTTGATTGAGGACATTGATGGAGATATTGCTGTGCCTGTCCCCAAAGTGAAAGACTGGACACAGCAGTGATGATTATTGGTGCTGGGGTGGCACACCTCTGATGTCAGCTCGTGCTCTCCACTATCAAAGATGCTGGATAACCATGAAAATACCCCCTCAACTTTGTTAACTAATTTAAAATCCCTTCAAAACCCCTTCTCCCTTACCCCCACCAAATAAAGTTGGGGTAAATTGCTCTTTTTGATAGACCTTCTGGGTAGGGTGCTGTAGCATTTTCAGCAGAAACATGGAAAATGTCAAGGTAGGTTTTGAGTATTACCATTATACATCTGCAGCACCATATTGAAGTTGAGTTTCTGTTGGGAAACAAAATTTTTGTATTTTTAAGAAGGGCTTTTACATAGCAGACATAATTATTTTCATGTAAATCAAGTTTGTAGGATGCGTAGGGAGGATTCGTAGATAAAAGTAAAATTTTCTCTGCATTGTAGTGATAATTACATTCATTTTTATTTATTTAAAGTAAATTTAACACCCAAGAGGTAAAACAGTATTGTCGAGCCTCACCTCTTGTACGTCGAAGGCTGAAGTTTTTCTCAGTTCTCCCTGTGTAGAGTCAAATCTCTTGTGTTTGGCTGAAGTGTGTTTTCTGGAAAGAAGTTGTCTGAAATTGGAGACAGCAAAGGATTTTGAGTGGATGACATAGTTAAGAATCAAACGTTGAAATTCTGTGTAGGTAATACACCTACTGCATATAACAAGGCAAAAAATGACGAAGGGTGTTACTCCTGAGGAGGCGGAGGATGCACATGTGAAAATGTTGGCAGTGGTACTTGAGCAATTAATTCAGCAATTAACCTTAACCAGAGGTACCTGTGCTGCTCCTGGGGTATTTGCAGTAATACTGCGATGCGCAGCGCCGGTCTCCATGGTACTCCGTATGTTGACGCGTTTTTCTTCGCTCTTTCTGGGTTAAAGATACCGAAATTCACATTTTTGAGGTGACGTCCTAAGTATCTTGTCTGGACTTCAGTCTCTGTGAATGTTCTACAGGAACTTCCCGAGGTTTGGTGTTTCCTATCTGCTAAATCTCCTGATGTAGTTCCTAATAAAGCCGAAGATGAGTATGTTTGTCCCTATGAGTCATATCACTCCGTCAGCAGCAGAACTGGATTCATGTTGAATGTTTGACATATCCTGGCCTGTTAGGCTTGATACCACACGGGGAGGTACAGCGTTAGGAGAGATGTAGAAAGAAGCATGTAAAACATCTTCTGGCACAGTGTTCTTGGAGAAATTGTGTCACAGACTTCCGCACGTTGACTTGCTGATGCCTGTTATGAGTCATACGCATTTCTGCTTCTGCTGTTCATGTCTGCAACCATATATATCTGTGTATACATTGTCTTTTTAGGGCAGGATTATGAGAATCAGCAATGATCTAATGCACAAGCTCTCTAGAAAATATTATCAGTTCTTCTAGGTTTTTTCTTTATTTGCTTGAGTTTTGGTTTTCTCCTCACTGAGTGACATCTTGACAGGCCGAGCCAGAATCTCGTTCTTGCCCTGCAGGTACGGAAGGATGACACACATTAAATGTGTTACAGTTCTCTGATTGTGCTGCTCTGCCTGGGATTCCTTGGATGTGCTGTAGCCTCTGTTCTGTTTGATGAGATGTGGGCTAGAGAACTGATTTCAAGGAGGATGTTTTTGGGCTACTGTGAATATTGGTGGTTTGGAATGTGTTCAGTAAATGACAAATGCAGGAAAAGAGCACGACTGCACGTTCTCAGTGTTTACGGTAGTTCCCTGTCTTTAATTGCAGACCTCAAAAGAGGACCTTCTACAAGCTGATTTTGAAGGAGCTTTAAAATTCTTCAGGGTTCAGTTGCCCAAGAGGTACAGAGCTGAAGAGAACGCCAGAAGACTGATGGAACAAGCTTGCAACATTAAGGTAAGGATGCTCTTCGTTTCCTCTCATTCAGCCAGGGTTTTTACAGGAAAAGTAAGGTACAATGTTAAGAGTGGCAGTAGCACGTGGAAGGTAAAGTAATGAAATCGTTAGTTTATTAATTTTATATGTATCTGTGTATTTATACACGCACGCACGGTTTTTATGTTTAAAGAAAGTAAAGCGCCGAGCTTTCCCCTCCTTGTCTGCTTCGGTACAAGCTAATAATTAAAATGGAAAACCTGTGCATGATCAAAGTGAATGATCAGAACTCGCTGATTCCTTAGTTGGTTTATAAACAGCAATTACACTAAACCAATTAATCGAATGTATGATAGTCGTGCAAGCAAAGGTCAGATACTGTTTGTTTCGCCCAGAGAGGTTTGTTTTCTGAGTGCTGCTGTATAACACAGTTGCATTAGGGTAGAAGCTTCGTTTTGTTTGTGTATCAAGCTTACTGAGATGAAATATCTTTTTATATTCTACCCTGTCCAAGACTGTGGTGTCAAAAAGTAGGCTGCTTTGAGCGTCTGGAGCACAGGAATTGGGCTTGTTATGAATGATGGCAAGTTAGAGGAGTCTGACTTGTAAGTTTTTGAGGATGGAAATCTTCTGTTAAAAATGGCTGCAGAGGCTCATACAGCTGTCACCTGAAAGGTCTGCTGTTTTAACTGGGATTTTTTTGTTGGAACACGTATAGCTGTGAATGAGCTTAAGATTTGATCTTGGAAAAAAAGTGCTTTTGTTATTTCTTGGAGTGAGAGCACTGATGGGAAATACATGTTTGATGTGGCCAAATAACGGGTCAAGAACATCCCGTCAGAATGCTCCTCTAACGCTCCACCTTTTTTATATCTCTTGCAACATGTTTATTTATCTACTTTTGTGCTGCTTAATTACATAGTTTATTAAACAAGGGCTTTTTCCATACTGTTTAAAACTCTGATGTTGTGAAAGAGTGGGGCTTGCTGTACTAATGTTATTCCAGCCAGAAAAAAAGAAGATCTGTACAAAGGTTTTCTTAAAATTGGACTTGAGATTTGAGCTCTGCTACTGAAAGAGAGTATTTGGGAACAAAAGACTAGAGTTTGGTGTTTAGTGTTTAGTCCTTTGCTCAGTTCTTGACAATGGGTCATTTAAGGACTTACCAAGTGCAGTAAAATTATCCTTATATTGTTGAATCAGTGTGTATTTTTCTGATGAGAGGTTAAAATAGAAGTCCTTGTGGTACTTTTTGGAAGAGGTATTTGTCAGTTTTCCTGGGCCTACCTTTCTCACTTTCTTGTGTAATAGATAGTGTGCCACACGATGATATTTTTCATTAATTATTGCGTTTGCATGGAGCGTGTATGTATATGATGTGTTTTGTTGGGAAAGTGTTTTGCAGTGTGTTTCAGGCAGATGGGCAGTGCATAGTGCTTGTTTGGGTTCAGCACATGGGGCCTTTTAAAAACAGAGGATAAAATTCCGAGCTGTTTGCCGATGTGAATGGGAAGGCAGCTGAAGGATTTGACAGTGAATGTGCTGCATACACAGGATTTCACACATTCTGGATTCCAGTGTGTAAGAGAAGGGCACAGATGAGTCCAGCAGACGTAGTCAAGGCGCTCTCCTGCGTGTTACAGAAGTACCCAAGGACAAGTAGGAATTACTGGAATAGAGGCAGAATTCAGGGCAGAGACCTGGGGATATCAGGGATGGGGAATAAGTAGAAGATTTAAGTTACCTTCTGCTGTGTTAGTAGCACTCCACCCTTGTAAGGAGTATAGTTGGGAGTTGGGTTCCACTAACTCACTGGGCATGCGACTCATTCCTCGTTCCGATGTAAGACACAGGAGGGCATCTGAACTGTCTCCTGAACAGTCGTGGAGAGGAGTGTTCTGAAACTCAGAGCCTTTCATTTAAGGTTGTTGTCAGGATTAATGGCAAAGTCCGGAAAGTTAATCTAAATGGGGAAAACTCTGAACCTAAGGTGGGGTATTTAAAACAGTGAAAACATAAAAGACTTCGAGAACTTAATGTGAGGAAACACAGTGCAGGATCTTATTGGAGAAGATGGTAGCCATGTACTCACCGACACCAAGGCTTCTGTCTGGCCAGGATCACTTATGTGTGATGAGGATGGGGGACAGTGGCTATGAAGTCCTCCCTATGTCTCTTGGGTTCCTCTTGGTTAATGACATTAAACTGGCTTTTAGACAAAGTTTTTGTACTCTTTAGGAGTCAAACAGTTCCCATGGTGTGATCTTTCCCTCAGAAGCTTCCTTGGGGTGGGTTTGTGGCTTCCAACCTGTTTTCCTGTTGGTGGTGGCGACGTGCCGTAGCTTTGCTGCAGGTCTCTGACTGGCTGGTCATCTCTGGTACGGCCTCACCAGAGTGCTGGCCTTCTGATCCAGAGGTAGTGAGACATCTCTCCTTGTTTGCCAGTTTGCTGTCACTTATGCCCTTGCGCTGTTCTCGTAACCCGTTCTCTGTGTTGTTCCTGCTGGTGCTTTGGCATGCAGACACTCCGTTCTTACTTCCTTCAGACTGATCATAGTGTTTTTGTTACGCATCCCTACTGAGTGATTATGTGGTGCCTTGACTCTGTTAACTCAGTGTCCCACATTAAATTAAAACACTCAAGGGTTGAACTGACTTCACATTCACAGTTTCTATTTATTTGGATCAACTCTTCTCACTTTTGCCGGCTAGAATGTCCTTAGAGAGCCAAACCTGAATCACAGGAACGTAACCTCTGACCGGAGGTGGCACACTGACTGTTTGATAGGCAGAAAAGAAAATTGACCTGTAATGAAGGAGGTCACCAGGAGTTATCAGCATGGTTTTGTGAAGGGTAAGTCATGCTTAACCAATCTGACAGCCCTCAGTGATGAGATGACTGCTGTAGTGGATGAACAGAGAGCTGAGGATGTTGTTTATCTCAAGTACAGCAACCGTAGACCCGTAACATCCTTCTAGACAAACTGATGAAGTATGGACGAGATAAGTGGACAGTGAGGTGGACTGAAGTCTGGCTGAATTGCCAGATTCAAAGAGTTGTGACCAGCAGCAGGATGTCCAGTTGAAGGCCAGTCATTAGTGTTTTACCTCAGATGTTGATGCTATGACCAATAGTGCTTAGCCACTTCATTAATGACCTGAATGGTGAAGGAGAGAGCACCTTCAGCAAGTCTGCAGATGACATCACCTTTATGAAGGAGTGGCCGATGGACCGGATGGGTGTGCTGCCATCCAGAGGGACCTCGACAGGCTGGAGAAGTGGGCCGGCAGGAATCTTGTGAAGTTCACAAAGGGAAGTAGAAGGTCCTGCACCTGGGAGGAACAACCCCGTACACCAGTACCTGCTGGGGGCCAGCTGGCTCTGAAGCAGCTTGGTAGAAAAGGGCCCGAGGGTCCTGGTGGACATCAAGTTGAACATGAGCCAGCAGTGAGCCCTTGCTGCAAAGAAAGCCAGTGGTATCCTGGGCTGCACTGTGAGGAGTGTTGCAACGGCTCAAGGAGCTGATCCTTCTCCTCTGCTCAGCACTGGTGAGAAACATCTGGAGTACTGAGGCCGGGCCTGGTCTCCCCAGGACGAGAGAGAAGAAGCTACCATGGTGAGAGTCTGACGAAGGGCCCTGAGGATGATTAAGGGACTGGAGCATCTCTCCTGTGAGGACAGGCTGAGGGAGCTGAGGCTGTTGAGAAGGCTCAGGGGGATGTTATCAATGTAGATAAATACCTGGTGGGAGGAACTAAAGAATAGGGAGCCAGGCTTTTCCTAATGGTGTCTAGTGAACAAACGAGGCAGTAGGCACAAAATAAAATTATTTATTTCTTTAAAATCTATTTCTTTATTAACTTCAGGAGTGATCAGACACAGGAACAGGTCGCCCAAGGGAGTTGTGGAGTCTCCATCTGTGGAGACGCTCAAAATGCAACTGGCCCTGAGCAACCTGCTGTAGATAGCTCTACTTCAAGGGGCTGGTTTAGAGAAGATGTTCTCCAGAGGTCCCTTCCAACCTCGACTATTCCATGATTCTGTAATTAGATATTATAATTATGGTATTTATTTACAAACAGGAGCTAATAATTACAGGAGTTGACATGCTCAAATAGGAAATGATAATCTTGATAATCATCACTAGAAGAGGTCCCAGGGAATGCAGAGGTGATATGAAGAGTAGTGGTCTGTCTTGTTGAATGCAGGAAAACTTGTTCTGTTCAAAAAAACCCCAAACACGACCCTTAAACATGTGGGGTTTTTTCTGCTGCGTGAATGAGGCACTGTGTGTCTTTCAACTGCTTCTCACTTCTGTATTAGTATTTGTAGACTAAACACCAGATGCTTTTAAAGTATTGCACAGTAAGTGCCAGGGAGTATTTTCTGTAGGTTTCTAAGCTAATTACCCAGGCGTAGAAACGTGAAAAGGGAATCGTGGTGTGGCCAGGTTTCATGATCTGGCTGTATCTTTTCCAATGTTTTTTTCCTGTATTACTGCAAAATAAACCAGGAGTTTAACATGTAATAATAATCCATCTCTCCTTGCTTTTTTTTTTTTTTTTCAACTTCAGCTCTAGCTGATGTGGTTCTAGAGAAGGCAAATGAAAAAACACTTGGTGTTTTTTCTCCTTAATTTCACAACTTTTAAGTTGAACTCATGAGTTCAGCACCTAACCCTTGGGTTTTGAAGGTGCTGCAATAGAAATAGTGTTGTCAGCCTGGTGTTAGAACAAAATGAATTAACATCAACCTCTACCTAAGTACAGCACTGCAAATACAAAGGAAAAAGCTCCTGTTAATTGATAGTTTTATATAAAACGTGGTAGAGAATGTCTCATTTAATTAAGGACTATCCGTGGTGATTACTCACCAGGTCTGAATTTTGATCATTTACCAGTAAGGAAATCACTGTGAACAAAGTCAATGAAATTAGAAATGCTATTGGTATTTCCAGCAGGTGATTGTTGGGTGGTATTCCATGGTTTAGGAGTGTTTTCAAACTCATTCATAATAGGAA